AATTTTGACTGTCTCTGCCCATAAATGTCTTTTAATGCAGTTATCCAACTGATTGCTAATGATGTTAAACTTAATTGATTGAATTCAACTATTTAATTTTATTGAAACCATCTTTTATGTATAAAATTAAATTAACATGAAGAACATGTTCCCAGAAGATACTTGCCATATTCTTAGGAACCATCACTGGTCCTAGAAGTACTATCTGGGATTTAAGATTTTAAGTAAACTATATTTCATGCATATTTTGAGCAATCATTTTCTAAGGAAGAATTAACCAGAGGAGAGAAGTTTATTATCATCATCTCTCTCTATTTCAGACTGACACATCAAAACACAATAGTGTTAGGGTCTGTTATAAAAGAAAAGTCAGATTGGAGTTACCATCAGGCTCACAATGCTTAAGGTCCTGTATACAAAGGCCGCAAGGAGTGTTTGACAGACTAGCTATGAGGAGAGCTTAGCAGAGACAAGACAGCACTTGGCCATTCTCCTCTTTATTTATCTTGAATGATAAGGTTTACATTGCCCAGTCAGGTGACTACAATTCCAATCCCTTAATTTAATGTCTGGCAAGAAAGACCAAGTGCATGACATGCTTGACTATCTCAGTGAGCCGGCCGGAAAACATGAGCAAATGCTTTCATAATGCTATTGAAATGTCTAAACCCTACATGGCCATATATACAATCTGTACAAATTTCTATTAGATACCACTTGCCCTTATAGCATAAAGCTATGATCACTAAGCATAATCATCTGCTAGTCAGTGCTATGGGTACAAGCTGGTCAAATATTCTTGGAATTGATGCTGAGCCATAGGTGATTCTAGCTTGGTGTCTGTAGTCTCAAAAAGGCAGGGCAGAGCAGATGAAAGTATTGGAAGATCTTGGGAATGGGAGGAAGGTAGGGTCTACAGCATGGTTAGAAGAACAAAGAGAGTAGAACCACTTTCAGCATATGCTCCTTCTCCAGAGGGTCTGTACTACTCTTTAAGTATAGGTCAGATACTGCGTCAGAAGGAAAATACTCCAGGGAGGACATGGGCAACTTTAAAAGGAGTATAAATCGTCTGGTTTGGCTTATTCCATTTGGATGGTGTCACGGAGGCCTTTATATGATTGCTGGTAGGGAGCATAATTTGTCTTCTTGAACCCTAAGAAAGAACCTTGAGTTCCATCAGAGAAAATAAAAGAGCCATTGGTAGGATGATCATATAATTTATTGTGTAAACTTTTAAAAGTGAAGGGAGGAATTACTGGCAACTAAGCAAAAAAATATGCATGTACCAGAACTGTTCTGAACAAACCAAAATATCTGCTAGCCCTAGCTGGAGTGGTTACATCAGGTTGGAGGCTTTGGTCTTCCCAAAGAAAGTCTGAATGTTTACCTGAATCAGCCTTGGCTGCAAGCAGACTTCCTCAGAGTCATTCAGAGGGGGAAGCAGTGAGCAACACTAGAAACAGCATAGCTTTATCAAGCAAACCTAGATGATTATCTATTAGTATCCATGGTACAGCAGATTTGTCTTCAGATTTGGACTTAATGGACAAAAGCTCAATTTTACAATCCATTTTTATTTGAAATCTTCCTTAGCATTTTAAATATAAATATGCCAAAAAGTAGTTAAAACTGAACAATATATTCAATTGATTCACTCCAGTTTTCTCTCATGTACGACTACTAAACAGTAATGCCCTTGATAATCCATGTCTTAAAGTTATAGCATTCAATAGGATTAGATAATAGGAAATAGAAATAAATGCAAAATAATGACTTTAGCAAAGCAAACATTGTGCCATGTGAATGAGACTTTATCAGTTAGGAACATAAAGGGGGAAGGAGTTCTCAGGGCTATCAGATGATAATGTGTTTCAAAGTAAGAAAGAGAATTTATTACATAGCATAAATTATAGGAAAATCCAGGCTACTCCTCCACTCTGAGAGTTAAAGACATAATAACAGGTTTATGATGACTGTTACATACTGGTTTTATATATTGAGTAAAGACTAGATAATTATAGTAATCACTGTTCATCTGGTAACCCTTTCTCCAAATAAGAATTCTTCTAACACTGGAGATAAAATGATATGGTGCTATGTAAGTGGAAAGAATATAGGTCTGGAACTAGGCCAAACCTGAGTCTTACTCCTGGTTTCATCACCTCCTTGGTTGTAGATTTTCAAGTAAGTCTTTTAGCCAACTGAACATCAGTTTCTTAATCTGAGATGGATAAAAGAATATCCACTTTGTAGTATGTTGGGAGAGCTAGAAAATATATGCATAAGTACAATGCCTAGCACAGAGTTTTCCCTTGAATGAATGCCAGCTGTTTAAATGACTTTTCAAACTGTTCTTGCCTGGAGTTTCACAGTCTAAGTAACAGGGTTTGGTCAAGCCTTAGGTGAGTGACAGAGGAGAACAAAAGAGAGTAGTTTTCAGTGAGTCTCAGGCCTTTGAAAAAGCCCTCATTGAAGGAGGGCAGACTTAAGGAGAGTGTCAAAGGACAGCTGGGGGCTGGGGATTTAGCTCAACGGCAAAAGCGCCTGCCTGGCAAGCGCAAGGTCGTGAGTTCGGTTCCCGGTACCGGAGAAAAACCAAAAAAAAAAAAAAAAAAAAAAAAAACAAAGGACAGCTGGGACACAAAAAGCCCAGGCATTCACCAAAGGCAGGAGGAAGGAAGGTGGCAAAGGGGCTGACCTACGTGGTATGCTCTCAAATCGTTTATGGAAAGAAGCAGTAAGTAACAATGTTATAGAATTAGAGGGGATTTTAATGTCAGCCTTTGAATTTTGTATTTATTGTCATAGCAATGAGGGAAAACACTCAAAGATTTGAACTGACAGAAGGGAGTGATACTTAAAATATAAAATCAGAATTTTAAAGCTGGAAAGAATATTAGAAGTCATCTAAGAGAAGCACTTCCTACTACAGAGAGTTAAGTGACAGTGTAGAAAGATGAAGGATACGAGGATGTGCTAGGAGTGTAACTCAAAAGTAGAGCATGTGCTTAGCTTGTTCACTGCCCTGAGTTCAATCCCCAGCATGCATAAATGAATGATCAAATAAATGAATGAAGTAGATCCCTTAGTGCCTTTAGTTTACTTTTTGTAGCTGCACTCAGCAATTAGGAGGCAAATGCTGACATGGTTGTCAGGACAAAGGACTGACCGTGGGAAGGCAAGGACCTAAAGGGGCCTGGTTGCTATAGGAAGTCATACCAGTGGAGCTACTACCAACTCAGGAGAAAGTGGGAAGAAAAAGCCAAAAGATGGTTGATAGGCTGGAAAAAATAAGTAGAAGTGTGTAGACTGTAGTCTGATATCAGGACAAAGGGCAGATGTCCTGGGAATCCAGAAATGTGGTGAAAATGAGGGAGGTTGTGCTGAGACCAAGGAATGCTGAATGGACTAGAACAATTTCAATGCTGAGAACAGTCTCAGCACTGACCAAGAAGGGGAGAAACGATTTCTGGAATAAGTCCCTGGGCTTCTAGCTGTTCCTCTTCATTGCCAGCTGAGCTATACTTTTCTAGAAGTACAAAGGCCAAATTAGCACTGCACTGTTGGGCTGGAATGATCCCAGCAGATGAGGTGGCAATACTGTTAGCTCCTTCAGGTCAGTTGCGCCCTGACATTCTCATGTAGATCATCCACATCAGTCTTAGGAGACTGTAATCACATTTGGTTCTCTCCCTATTACCCGGACCCTCAACCTGGTCTTCCCTCCTCCTGCAATTAATGTGAACTCAGAGAATACAAAGCACATTTAGTCTGAATCAGAAAGTATTGAAAAAAATAAGATATATGATAAACATACACTAAAATCAAATGTAAATATCATGTGTTGAGTGAGTTATCTAGTGTCTTGCCCTATTCCTTTGGTGAAGTAACTAAGGGAGGATAGAAAAGGTTAGTCTTTAGCTTTATTAATCTGACAAATTTATTTCTTCTACTGGAATCTTTTTAAAACTGTTTATTAATGTTTAAAATGTGTGCACTGTTTGAGCTTTACATGACATGAAGTTTTTTAAATATACTGTGTGTAAAATGCATCAGTAATCTTTGAAAATGTGATAATTGTATGGTTATCTTGAAAGTGAAATTTAACTAATGAACCCATCAAAGAGCAGACTTACACACAACTTCAGTTTCTCTGCCATGAAAATTCAGATGTCCTTAAATTTCAGAGAGATGCAATCAGAAACTAAGGCGTGGGGGCAGGAGTTAGAGTCCTGAGAGATCAATTGATGAAAGTGTATGATATTCTTGTTTAACGTATGCTTTAAAACAATAATGTATTAATCATATTGACAAAAGGATCAGTCATTTAAAACTCTTTAACTTTTCTGCATCTTTCCACTCACGCCTCACTCCACCCCCTCCCATACCACGCCTGGGTTGTTCCCACGGACCTCGCTCTCCTCCCCTCGTACCCAGTCCCTCTTTCATGCCACTTCCTTGCAGAAGACGCACCAGAGCGCCCTGCAGGTGCAGCAGAAAGCTGAGGCACTGCTCCAGGCCGGCCACTACGATGCAGATGCCATCCGGGAATGTGCAGAGAAGGTGGCCCTTCACTGGCAGCAGCTCATGCTGAAGATGGAAGACCGGCTAAAACTGGTCAATGCTTCTGTGGCCTTTTACAAAACTTCTGAACAGGTGAGGGAAAGGACTGTGGGACATGTGTGGCAGAGTCTGACAGGGGCTATGTCCTGTCACACATTGTAGCTCTGCAGTACAACACTCACCAGGAGCAGTTCTCTCAGCATAACCCTTGAGAATGAAAGAATGGCCTGCAGAGTGGCCACAGTTAGCTTCTTTATCATCCTTTTCATTACTGAAGTGGACCATGGGATTTGTTTCTCTTACATTTTTCAAACTCACCAGATCTATATAGAAGTGTCAAAATAGAAATAGGATATATGTTGAATGGTAGATTTGAGCAATATGTATCAATCAGCTCTTGCCACAATAATGCTATGTAACAAACCACTGCAAACTTGGTAGTATAAACAATATGCATTCATTTTTTGTTTAACTATGTGGGATTCAGTTGAGCTAGAGTCCCAGCTTGCGTGCTGCATCCAGATCTGCTGCTTTGTCTCTCATCTTCCTTGACCAGCATCTACTCTGGGTACAGGCATGCAGAGGCGAAAGTGCACTGTGCAAGAGTATTTCACGTCTTCGTCTCTGTCACATTCTCTAACACCTCTCTGGCCACAATAAACCCATGGCCAAACCAGTACCAGTGGGCCAACAGTGCCTCCTGTGAAGGTTAGGAAAGGAAAATGAGTATTTGCTGAACAATAATATAATCCACCACAATCAGGCATTACACGCTGCTTCAAAGATATATGGTTCTGCCATAATCCTAATCTACTGTAGGAAACATTGCTCTCTCTCATTGAGGAACTGTGGGCTGAAGTAGTAAGGTGGTACCACAGATGATGCGTGGAACAGGGCCATGAAATGCAGCTACATTATCAGTCCATCTGTACTGCAATGTGTGCAAAGCCTCAGACGGTTTTTAAATGCTTTAGATGCTATTAGGGAATTCTTTTCACAAAATGGAGGCTTAAAGCAGGAATAATTTTATTCAGTGTAAAATAGTTTTCTCATCTGAATTGCTCCCTAGTAGAAATAGATCAAAAAAACATTCCCCTCTGGGTCACGTACAGGGACCGTGAAATGGAGCAAATATAACACCCATCAGAGCCTGCAGTCAGTATTGTGGCCCCACACTTCTCAGTCTCCTTTCTATTGTTTCAGAGAAATTATGCCTTTGATGGCCACAGAAGTGAAACCAGCAGACTGAGATGATAAACAGTTTCCCCAGTAGATCAGTACAAACCCAACCAAATCCCAGTAAGCTTTTTTGTAGAAATTTATACATTGACTTTAAGATTTATGTGGAAATAAAATGTGGATGCAATGAACCTAGAATACATAAAACCTAGAATATCAAAACAACCTTGCAAAGGAAGATGTTACACTGCCTAATATGAAGTCTTACTCTGAAGCCACTATGATCAAGACAGATGATATTAGTATAAGGAGAGACACAGTCTAACAGAACAGAGGTAATAAAAGTAGACCCACGTATACACAGTTTTTGACAGAGAAATTCAATGAAGGAAGGGAGGTCCAACAAATGGAATTATACAACTGAGTAAGTATCTACATGGAACAAATGAGAATCCTTATCTAATCGCACACACAAATTTCCTTTGGAGTTGGTTCAAGATGGTGAAGAGGACAGAGTACTGGATTAAGAGTCAGGATATTTGACCCTGAACTGACTTTGCCAAAGGCTACTTTACCTCCCTGGATTTTTGTTCCTTTGCCTAATAAATTAAAGGATTTATACTTAGTACTCTGTTTTTATTTCTTCCAACTCCCAAGTTGATTTGTTTTAAATCCAGCCCTATTACAGAACAGATCTCACATAGTCTTATTCTTAATGTCTTTGCACGTGTATAGTATGACTATCTCAAGACATTAGCCTGCCTGCAAGTTTTCATGCCTTGCATAGAGAAGTACTAGAGATAGGACTAGACAAGTTCCCTAGCATACAGGCACCAACCTTCATATGACATGGAAAGCCTGCCTGGTCACAAGGGTATGCTGTATGAGACATCTTCCAGCTCAGCTCAGAGAACATCCTGTCCAAAGGTACATCTTTCATCAAAAGGAATGACTTTTTCAGAGGAGATCCAGGATAATTATAGTTATCCTCCTCTGCTGCAGTATCTAAGAAAGTACTGAACTCTTTTAAAGGAAAGTTGCAACTTAACATCTATTAAAGGAAAGTTTCTAGGGACTCAAGTTTCTACTTTTTGCATCCTTTCCTACCCCCAATACTAGACTACCTTAAGTCTCCCACTATAAGACCCAACCCAACTTTGCCTTGAAACTTCCTTTAAAATGCTCCGCTCACTTCTGAGATCATTTATATGGTCATTCAGCACATTTTTTCCACATTTTCAGAACTGAAAAACTTTTTACCTGTCCTTTAGGTTATCTCAAACTTATTTTTCCTCTGAAAGAAGTATGCACTTTGTGATAGATTTCACTGCCTAATGGTAGAACCTTGGAACATTTTTCCCAGGTGAGGAGAGAAATGTCTTTAATTTTTGACCCACAAATCACACAACAGGGGCCACTTCCTCCTTTACCTCTACTTGAGACTCCTTACAGCAAGATAAGCACAGATTGAGCAGGTCAAGTGTCTTTTCAAATCCCGTTTTCTTCTCTCCCTAGCTCACAATTATCCTGAGGTTATAACCATATAATACAAATAAAACACTTTGAACTCTCCCAAAATGTGCTAGCCTTCCCTTTTTTAGTCTTCATACTATTCCTGTGTAATTTTGTCAACACCCATTGTGTCAACCATCAACCATGAACCGTAAAAAGATAATTCGAAAATCCATATGTCCAGTTACAATCTGTCTCCTGAGCTGCCGGCACAGAATTCTCATTGCCTCCTGGACTTCATCCCAGGGACACAACATACTCCAAATATACAGGCTGAGCTTCAAGTGAAAAATGTCACTATGTAAAGTTCTGTGGACTGATTAATTTACTGAATCTTTTCTTCCTTGATTCATTAGGTGTGTAGTGTGCTGGAGAGCTTAGAGCAAGAATACCGGAGAGATGAGGATTGGTGTGGTGGAAGAGATAAACTGGGGCCAGCAGCAGAGATCGACCATGTCATTCCACTTATCAGCAAGCACTTGGAACAAAAGGAAGCTTTTCTTAAGGTCAGCTGACATTGTCATGCAAGGCTAAAGGTTCCAGCCTTATTGTCTGTCTGTCTCTGTCATCTCTGTCTCTGTCTGTGTTTCCGTCTCTCTCTCTCTCTCTCTCTCTGTATATCTCTGTCTCTCTCTGTGTGTCTCTGTCTCTCTCTGTCTCTCTGTCTCTGTGTGTGTGTGTCTCTCTCTCTCTCACACACACACACACACACACACACATTCATATGGTCTTCCTATCCCATTTTTTCTAAACAGGGGAAGGAGTTATGAAGAAGATGTTGACTGGTTCACCTGCAAGGTCATAAGGTTATATTTTACACATTGATTTCTCTCTTGCACCAAAATGGTAGTACTAGGCAGTTAGGATACGCCATTACTATCACTGCCAATTAGAATAGACTGATATCATTCATGGATGTTATTTATTGAAAAAAATATGTGCTTCTCACGCAGTTATGTTTGGTTTATAAAATTACTTTTTGATCAAAAGATATAAACAAATGTAAAACACTTTTAAAAATCTTTTAATAATGAATGATGAAAAATTTAGGGTAAGAATTAAATAAATTTGGACAGCCTCTTTATCAGTTAGCCTCTTTAGTTCTTAATTACCAATAAATGCCAGAGTACTTACCCTCCTGCATGAAAGTAGAGATCCTTACTTGAGGTTTGCTGATAGAGGCCACCCATGCCTCCCAGGAAGGAAGCACAGCCCTGCTCAGCACAGGCTGTCAGTATAATTTGTGGGCTCAGAGGCTTAAGTATAAGAAGATTTAAAATTCAACAATTTGGTCTAGAGATAATTGAATTCTGGAAACTATGGATAAAAATTAGTGTACTAGCATATATTACTTTTACAACCAGAGGAGGAAAAGCCTACATTTTAGAAAAACCCAGGAACTCCACAATCTTAAGAGAAAATAGAAATGATGTTAGTTGATGTAGAGTCTAGATCTGATTGCTTCCTACTATCTGTTCTTTTGAGGCCTTGGCCCTGTCCGTCAGGGTAGCAGAGAGAACCTGTCCTGTTCGCTCTGCTTCTCACAGGTGATATGAGTCTGAAAGGGGTGTAACAATGGTTCTTATTATTTATGTAGATTGGTATTTCTAAGAAACTGGATGTATATTAGTGTTATTTAGGTAAGTGGAGCTGAATGGACAAAGTTATTTGAAAAATGTTGATCAAAAATTTCCACTTAGATTTAGAATGTATAGTTGATAGGTATGTTAACCCCAAATGTTTTACTTTCTAAAGTCTAAATTAAACTAACATTACAGTGGGGTATGTTCTCCCCACTAGCTTGCACCAGTGGTCATATGAAAGGCATATTGCAAGAAGAGGAAAACCAGCCCAGGAGTGATCATTAATAATGATGAATCAGCATAGAGGTGATCCAGGGATTTGGCTGTTTCTGATTTTTATCTGAGATGGAAAGGGAAAAGGCACAGGGAAAAATCCTTTACTTGGCAAAATGGAACTGTAGCATCCATGGACCAGAAGTGGCCTCCAGAGCTGTGTTCCTTCTGGATTCCTCCAGCACCCTCATCACCATTGGACCCTCAAGCCTCCTAAAAAGTAGAAGGAAGATATCTCTTTTTTGTGTCTGCTGGGCACAGGGCCCTCACACCTTTTCCTCCCTCAGGCATGCACCCTGGCACGGCGGAATGCTGAAGTGTTTCTCAAGTACATCCACAGGAACAACGTCAGCATGCCCAGTGTCGCCAGCCACACCCGGGGCCCTGAACAGCAAGTGAAAGGTCAGTGAAAGACCTGCCAGTACTGACTGGTCAAGGGATACGTTGCCTAGTAGAATTTTCTGAAATAATAGAAATGGCCTGTATCTACACTGTACACTAGAGAAGCCACTAGTCACACGTGGCCATTGAGCACTTGAAGTGTGGCTACTGCAACTGAGCAATACAATGTTTACTTTTATTTGATAATGAATTTAAATGTAAATAGCCTCATGTGGCTGTAGCTAACATATTAAATAGCACAAGACTAGGGTATCTTCAACCTAGGAAGAAGGAATGGACTGAGAATCATAAAACCAAGATCTAATCCTGTTGCTTATTGCCTAACCTTTTAAACTTAGTTTTCATATTTAAAATGAGGGGAATGTTGAGACTCTTGCTGCTCCAAATATGGCCCCCAGATGAGCAACAGTGATGTCACCTGCGAGTGTGTACAAGACACAGAATCTTAGAACCCACCCAAGCCTGCAGAGCCATAACCTGAATTTTGGCAAGAACTACCCCGCAAGCCAGGTGTGATGATACACACCTATAAACTCAATGCTAGGGAGGCTGAGGCAGAAGGAGTGCCAATTTGAGACTGGTCTGGACTGCACAGCAAAATTCTGTCTCAAGAAAAGAAAACCCCCCAATCCCCTCCTGTCCACTGACCACGTGATTTGTGTCCCTGCAAAATTTATGTAACTCCTGTTCTAGATTGTCTTCAGTATCCCTCTGAATTCTATAAAGTCTATAATTATATGAAGATATATAACCTTTAGAATTACTTATTGCCTGATCACATTACACTTAAATTATTATATCTTACTGTCTTCAATTGTTACTCTGACTGACCATGCAGAAATTAGTGTTTCAGTGAGCAAAGAGTTTAACACAGGTCCACTTGTCAGAGCAGAGAAATACAACCTGAGATTCCAAGCCTAGAGAAGGAACCTGCATGGATTTGGAGTGAGGGGCGAGGCAGGCTTGGAGACACCATGGAGATGGTGAAGCTTTCTTTAGGTGCCGCTCTCCTCCCTCCTTAGACAGTGCAAAACTGGGGAGATCAGAAGCCCTGGGAAAGAATTAAACTTAGGAATCAAAGTTCCCTATGGAGAGAAGGGATGCAGGGTTCCTTTTCCAGATGTGTTATTCTTTTTTTGATTGAGGGACCCTGTGGGTGGCTGACATTATATCACCCTCTCCTTCTAGCATATTTCAGAGCATATGTTCTGTCTTCCAAAGGCAGATGGCAACTTGGGTGAGGCCAACTACTGCTGAGATACCACACTCCACCTACACTTGTGTGCAGAAAGAGGCAGGCACCCAGAAGGAGCCAGAAATGTCTGTCTTCCTAGGGTGAGGAGAGATTTTTGCCCATGTGAAACTCTCAAAATGAAAGAAAAATAAAACCCTAAACTCTTTATGATTGTTGCTTGATTTAGCTTGATTCTTCAGCCACCAGAGAGAGATCCGTAATTAGCAAAGTTTTGTCTAAGGGACATAAATACTACAGGGAGGAGGCACACCCTCCTTCCTTGCCCAGGTGAGGGCAAGAGGATGCTGGAACTGCAGAAACCAGCAGTCTCTCTGGTATGTTTCCTTCTCACCCTTTTGTGACCTGTGCAGCCAGCAGGGTCCTGAGAAGGAGGGACAAGAGATTAAGAAAAAACTAGATACATACTAACAGAAAAGTTGGGACCAGATGGGATCTGACCTCTCCAATGGAAAGGCAGCAACAACCCAGCACAGTCTGTATCTTTATTTATACACAGTAAAAAGGAGGAAGTGTGTAATGGAGTCAAAAGTGTAAGGTCTCAGTGTTTTGCTGAGAACACTGAAAACAAAACATTCTCAGAGCTGTCTGTGCTGTAGTTAACAGGGAGGAGCACCAAAGCCAGACACCTAATGGACTGGCTTTGCCTTAGTCCTAACAACTTGTTTATATGGCTCACCTCTGGTGCTCTATGTTTTGGGGGCTGACCTTGCTCTAGACCCAAATGTGTGGTTGATCTGTAGCTCAGCTGCTCCCCACATCACCCTCTACCTGGATGCAAAGCCAGTGCACTTATTATAAGTTTTTGTTACAGGAGCAAAAATTGCTGCATAACAACCAAGACAGGTTGCTGCATAGCAACCACAGCCATAAGTATTTATTGTTCAGGTGACTAAGTTTGGGCTGGGCTTAGCCTCTGTGGTAAGCTTTGCAGTGCAGTTGTACTTTAGGCTGACTAACATGGACTTTACTGCAGGTGAGATTCTGGTCTCTGCAGAGACTGGAAGTGGAAGGATAGCAGTTACCTGGAAGTTCTCACAGTGGTGATGGCAGAGGTACAAGGGGCAAGGTCAAGTCCACAGTCATATTTCAAGCTCCTGCTTTTGTCACATCTGTTAGCAACCTACTTGCCAAAGCAAATGACATGGCAGAGCCAGAGGTCAGTCAGTGAGTCAGGAAGCATAATTCGCTGTCTGGGACTGAACTTAAAGTCACACGATAAGAGTAGATACTGGGAACAGTGAATAATTGGAACCCATGAAAGTACTCCACCTAAGCAGGAATGTAAACAGATTCTATCCCTAGAGCCAAACCTCCAGGGAGCCATTAAAGGGAAATAAGGTAAACAAAAACTTCTATGTGCAAACTGTAATTTGGGTTGTGCCCTCAGAGTAAAGCATGGTAGTGTTTTATACCCTCCAGGAAACCAAGGTGGCTGCAAGTACAGGGTCTGAAGTCCAATTTTTCAGTCTTTCTTTTGATTGGATCCAAGGCAATATGGAAGTTTGGACCTAAAGACAACATGTAGACATGATTCTAACACAGCTTCCCTGTGCCTTCTGCTCAGAAGTCTTGTAACTGAGGCTCTGCTGTCAGAGTGCTATGTGCAGGGTCAAGAAGTCCATATGTATGTTAGCCCAGACCCTGCCTATACATTACTCCTGCCCCTCTTGTAGAAAATCTTAAGGAACACCCAGGAGTTCTCTCAAAGTCCATCCATACTCATTAGGCTTTGTGGCTGAGTCAGTTGCTATTTTAGGGACTGGTGCACCCTAACGTCTCTCTATGTCCGAGATCTAACTTAGGTGTGAAGAGGATCAGGCTCATTGTCAGTCACTCATGGCATGTTCCTCCCCTACCTGATAAAACCATCAGAAAGTGGCTTTTACCTAGTCTCGCTGATCTTACTCCCTTTGGGAAATTCTCTGTCCCCAGTTTTTGTTTCATTCCAACTGGTGCTGAATTAGTCCCCTGGAGAGCCTTGAAAGTCTGTTACCTGCAGCGTGGGTGGTAGGGCCAAGGGAGTTGATGGTTTGATCAGAGCCTTTCTGTGACGAGCGTTTACCTCCTCTGCCTCCAGCCATCTTGAGTGAGCTCTTACAGAGGGAGAATCGTGTCTTGCATTTCTGGACCTTGAAAAAGAGGCGGTTAGACCAGTGCCAGCAATATGTGGTGTTTGAGCGCAGCGCTAAACAGGTATGTCCAGAGCTTTCCCTGGCTTTGCCTCAGTTCTGTGGAGTATACAGAGGCCCAAACGACTGTGGCTTGGGACCATCCAGAAGAGGACCCCAGCAGCAGGCAGAGTAGAGATGGAGAGGGATGAAGAGATGAAAAACAGGCTGTCAGTTTTCAACTCAGAATTATCAAGCACTGTATTCTGAGTTGGCACCAGGGGTGTAAGGGGATTCTACTCATTGTGTCCCTAGCTCACAGATGATACTGGACCTGATGCTGGAGAGTCCTCAGCCTAATGCTTTGCTGCTGGGATATTCCACATCAGGGGAAGGCTCATTCATAAAAAACACCTTCAGAGATACCTGCTGACTGAATCGTGTGAGCGTGTCCTGGATCCATCATGTTTTTCCAAGCCGTAAACCTTCCTTGTAGTATGGCATGTTTTCCTACTGACAGCTGGCTTTGGGGTGGGTTCTTTCCTCTCACAGGCGCTGGACTGGATCCAAGAAACAGGTGAATATTACCTCTCAACACATACCTCCACAGGGGAGACCACAGAGGAGACTCAGGAGCTACTGAAAGAATATGGGGAATTCAGGGTGCCTGCTAAGGTAGGAAATGCCCTGAAGCCTTCCCCAAGTCCACTTAGCACCCCCATGCTGGCCAACTTCATATTGTAGAAGTAGGAGCAGCCTCTGGAAGCAGCAGTGCATGGCCCCAGTGGTGATGAGAGGGGAAGCATGTTTAGGATTGTCTCCTATAGTCCCAGAGAACTGTGGCTGCTGAGCACAGCATCTCTATGTGGAAGGTCAGTTGTCATACACTGTGCTTCTCATCATGCTCCAGGTTCTGGGATCTGCTATATTCTTTCAGACCAAATGAGACAAAAAGGTGTATTCATGTGCATGCATGTGTGAACATCTGCACATAGCCACATATTCTTGGAATTTGAATAGCTTGGGAAGTCCACCTTATAGGAAGAGCTGGTTACTATGGGAGGGTTCCCAAAGCAGGTGAGTTTCTTATTTTCTGAGCTATTTCTGTCTAGCCTCAGACCTGCTAATGAGCCAAGCTGTGTCTCTAGGAAGTAAAATGTGTATACACTCTTTCATTCCCAAGCACACTGGAGGCAGAGGAGGCTATAATGAAAGGAAATCTGATTTTCATGTTGTCACAGCCAGCATTTCATCTGAGGATGCTTGGATTTGAATGAAAATCTGATCTGTCCCAGTTCCCTCTTTGTAGCATCCTCATCTCTCACAGTGGGCTCCCTGCCATGTAGGAGTCTTTCTTAGCATCAGCAGCACAATGGGAGATGCTCTTCCAGGGTGAGAGCTGCTTTTGTGGGAGTCAAAGGCAAGAGCATGTTAACACCCTATCCTACCCAGATATGCTTCTGACACTATAGTGCATGTTCCTCTGGTTTGGTGTAACAAAATTAAGACCTGATCCTCATTCCTGAGCTAGTTATTTCAAGTGATTACGCATTTTATAACATGAACTCTTAATGTTAGGGAGTTGTCCCCCGTATCACTGTGAGTTTTGAGGACTTTTTGCCCATTGTGAAAAGGTGTGAGTTTAGATAAGAAACTCATTTCAATATCAGGTAGAGCAAATAGCACAAAGAAGGTGGCAGACTTGAATAGAACCCTTTTCAAGTCCACATGAAAACAGCTTTTAAATTAGCCAGTTTGGGTCTAATTGCCCCTCTCCAAATAGAGTTAGTAATGAGCCATTAACAGGATGAACAGTATCAATTTTCTTGGTGTTCTTACCTGATAGGATGGACTACAGCAGATACCCAGAACTTCTTAGACTATGAATCCTAAGATTCTTTGGTCTATAACCAAAGTTGAAATGAGGACTACTCAGTTTAGTTCTACTTTCCTTTATGATCTACTTCAGAACTTCTTCTTTTCCGTTCCTCACTACCACCCTAAGCTGTAATCACTTCTCAGTTGGGTTCCTGCTTTTGGCCCTTCCATCCTTCTAACCCCTCCTGCTTTACTCTCTTTAAAATGTTACTCTGGTCACATTACCTTAGCTTCAGTAGTTCTCCAGTTCTTCCATGCTAAGGTTTATATCTTCTATATCTAAGCCCCCCTCCCAGCTTTATCTTCAGTTAGACCTTCCTGAGAGTTTTATGCTCAAGCTGAATGGATGTATTTTCTTGCTTTCCAAGAAATGCACCATACCACTTTTTGCCTCTGTACCATTTCTCTAACTAGAATATTCTCCCTTTCCACCTTTACAGTCAAGCACCAGCTGCTCTGTGATCCAGTCTGTGTCCCACGATAGGAACTGGTCCTTTTTCACACTAAAGCCTTTGTCTGTAAAACCTTTAGACACCTGGCATGGGCCATCTATTCTCCAGTAATCTGTACAGTGGTATCACTTTTGTGAGCCAACATTTCCAAAGGATAAGATCCATATTTTATTCATCTCATGTTCCCCAGGTTACCTGACTATATCTTATGCATTGAAGGGAGGTCACAAGCATGCATGAACATAGAGAAAAAGGAAGTTTGGGTAGATTTCACCCCCAAATCTATATTTACTCTTTCCCATGCTACCCTGCCTTCATTTTTCTTGCACTGAAAATTTTTGTGGTGTTAACTATACACACTGCTCATTTTGACATTCAATTACATGATGCCCTGAGTTATTTAACTACCCTGCATGAAAATTTTGTCCCCTCTAGAGATTATGTACTGTTGGGGAAAATGAATATCTTTTTTCCCTCCTTTTGTTTATCCCCCAAGCCCATCCCTATAGCTCTCTACATAGGGCTGAACAGAGTAGATATTGAACAAATTTTTGGCTAAAAATGAAAATTATCCCAGCACATGACAGAGTTTTGCCTTGTTAGCCCTAGAACTAACAAGGTTGCTCGCTTCTTTAAACCTTTTCTCTCTAAAGGAAACTAAAGTCTAATGTAAAGGGACAGAATTTACTCCTAAATCTGCTAGTTACTTTTCTTTGGATGCTAGCATGTGCCAAGGCTTGATGTTTCAGACCCTACCTCTACATCCCTAAGCCAGGGAGTGGAGAGAACTAGGAACAAAGGATCAGAGACAAATAGGATTTTTTGCTTACTAGTGGTATGCTTTGGGACCCTAAAAACGAATCCTCAGGTTTTTTTCGTCTGCTAGTCAAAAAGACCCATGCTATCTCCCTCTACCTACTTCTTAGGGATGCTTCAAGACACACGCAGGTCTCAGATATGATAACATACTGTGCAACCAGAAAAGTGCTGCATTAATGTGGGTAGTAATAATAATGGCTAATGTTTATGGCTTCCTGTGGACACTGTGAGTGCCTACTGAGTTCCAGGCACTGTTTGAAGCATTCTGCCTTAGCAACCCATTTAATGTTCACAGCAGCCCTATTATGCAGGTACTGGTATTGTTCAGATTCCTATTTTGTGGGTGAAAGAACTGAGAGGACACACTTTACTCAAAATGACCGAGGTAGTAAGTGCAGAGCTTGGATATAAGCCCAGACAGTCTAGGTCTGAAATGCCTACAGCTGCTGTGAAGAGAAGGGGACTTTGTGAGGGGACAAGCCCAAGAATAATGTCATCCAGTAACTTAAGGTCATCTTTTGGGGCAGCAAACAAAGGAGAAGGTGAAGCTTCTGATTCAGCTGGCTGATAGCTTTGTAGAAAAAGGCCATATTCATGCCACAGAGATAAGGAAATGGGTGACCACAGTGGACAAACACTATCGAGATTTCTCCTTGAGGATGGGGAAGTACCGATACTCCCTGGAGAAAGCCCTAGGAGTCAACACAGAGGTAGGTATGGGGTGTTCCACTGGGGTATCCTCCTTTTATATCTCCTGCAGTACTGCTGCTCCTGTTTCCACCAAGAAGTTTCTAGGTAGTCCCTTTGAGCTGGTGACCCTAGAGCACTTGCCTTATGTGGTTTGAGGGGGTGTAGAGATAGGGGACAAAGATCCATTCCCCTCTAGTTCGTGCCCTATGTATTGCAAAACTGACTAGCCAGGAGAAGAGCCTATGGCTGCAGAATAGTTTTTCTCTGTGTAGAGTTAACTATTGACTCTGAGGACTAACCCCTTCATTTTGGCCTCGTCAGTACTGTCTTCTACTCTATTATATTAATCAGCAAATGGTTAGAGTCCCTAGTTTATATAATAGTGCTCTTTCAAGGGGCATAGTTTGTGTAAAGGTTATGGACATTTCAACTGAGAAAAGGTACTATTTGCCATGAGGTAAAGGAAGACTGACTTAATCTCTTCTTTATAATAGGGGTCAGTGACCTATGAATTAAGAGCTAAATACAGCCCAGCAATTTAATCTTAGGATTTCTAATTCATAAATCTTTAAATAGGCTCATGCTCTGAAGCACAGCAGCTTAGACAGTAATCAGACCACTGAAAGCTGAAGCAGCTAACATCTTCCCTAGGCACTAGTCTGACTTTTTCTCTAGAGGACTCTGTCATATATAAATACCAAATGTGAGTTGAAATAAGCCAGGACAAGAAAGTCATTGAGCTGTTTGCAAGAGAAATTGTTTTTTTAAAAAAATATTTTCCCTTGACAAATGAAAGGCTTTTACATCTTTATATGTTTCTGTTTCATATTTATCTTACTCATGAAGAACCAATCCTAGACCCATTTATGCATGTGTATGTTTAAATGTAATCAGGACTGAAGGCCTCCCCAACGCAGACACATAATGTCCATTGCTATGGATATCAGCACTAATCATTTGACCTGAACATTTTGTATCTCTTATTTGCAAAGAACCATTGCCTCTTAAGATGAACAGTTGTGGGTAGAAATTTATAGGACCCTCCATCTTTTCCTCTTCTCCATTACATTGTTCTCTGTTTTTATGCTTTAACACCTCACTCAGCATGGGCAGGTGTCTTTCTTAAAGCTTCTCCAAAGTAACCTCTGTGATCCATTGCATGCAGGATAACAAGGACCTGGAGCTGGACATCATACCAGCGAGCCTTTCTGATCGTGAGGTCAAGCTGCGGGATGCCAACCACGAAGTTAATGAAGAGAAGCGGAAGTCAGCCCGAAAGAAAGAGTATGTGCTAGTGAAGTCCCACTGCCGTGAGCAGGGTTTGTTTGTACTGCCACCCATCTCTTTTGGCAGCTTACAGTGTCCTCTTGGTCACCTACAGAGGGGGACAGACAGACATGATGCTTTCATTGAGAATACAGGCTCACTGGAGAATTCTTAGTTTGTCTTATCTGTCTTGCATAGTCTTCGTCATGTATCCATGACTTTTTGAAAAAACACTCTTATTTCAGAACTGAAAAAGGTACTATTCTCAGGTAAAGGTACTGCTTCTCAGTCCAATGACACATCAGTCAGATCACTTTCACTGACTCCTTTCATGTCCAAAAATAAGTTATATTCAGTTGTTCATGTAATATTCTTGGCCTAGAGCTCTCTTCTTTTGATTTGTTCTTTTCCTTCCCTTCCCTTGATTGTTGTTGTTGTTTTCTGTGTAGCTTTATTTTGTCCCACTTTAAATCCTATTGATTCTTTAAAATCCAGCTCATATCAGCTACTTCATGAATCTTTTATCTACAACCTCTGCTGGCATTTGATCGTGCAACTTCTACAATGTTTTCCTATAATGATTCAGACTTTACTCACTCAGTGGACTCCTAAGTATGTTTCTCTAACTAGATTATAAAAACTCTGTGAGGAAAGGTATATTTTTATACTCTCTTATATGAACCAATGAAGAGAATAATGAAGATATCACATGTGATCAAGAAAAGTGTGTGGTATATAACTACATGTGGAAGCGCAAACCTTTTGGAAGGGATAAGAAGTTATCCAAAAATCGCATTAACAAATAAGCACCATAGTACCAACTTCCTTACTTAAAGTAAAAGATATACTGTCCAACCAAAAGAAAATAGCACACACTTTGGGAGACATTCTAACACCAGGTGGCCCCTCCTCTGACTTGATCTAGGTATTCAAATTTCAGAGTCTTTGCTTGGTGAATAACAGAATATTTAAAACAAAAAGAAGCTGTATCTAGAAAGTGGCTCCATGAGTAAATTATAGAGCTCAGATGTAAAACTGCCATCTAAGTTTTCTACCAGATGGGCAGTAGCCTAAAAGGAGATGAGGCAGAGGAGAATCAGCAAGAAGAGGTGCAGGATGCTGAGATTCAAACATTTTGCAATAATCTAGTCTGAAAATTTTGTAAATTGAATTATGTTTCTCAAGAATAGATAAGGACCAGAATCCATTTAAGAGAACTGGGACCAATTTGTCACTAGATTCTATGGTCTCTAAGTATATCAGCCCTCCATATTTGTGGGTCCTGTATCCTATAACTCAGTCAACTGTGGATCAGAAATATTCAGGAAATAATTATATATAGTCTTTCTGGCTTATCATTATTCCCTAAATAGTATAATATAACAGCTACGTAGCAAGCTCTTACATTGTCTTAGATATTATAAGTAATCTGGAAGTAGTTTAAAGTACACAGGATGTCCATAGGTTATATGCAAACACTGTGCCATATTATACATACAAGGAGCTGAGCACCTTCAGATTTTGGTATCCATGGGGGTCCTGGATCCAATCCCTTGAGGATACTGAGGCAAGACTGTATTTCAGTCCAGTCTCAAAAAATAGTGATTGCAGGTAGGCAAAATACATTTTGCTTTTCGTTTGGTTTGTAGATAGTTGTTTACCCACTTTCTACTTTAATCAATAATTATAGGGCACTGGGTTGTAGAAACAATGAGCCACATCAGTCTGGGCACTCTGATTTCTTTATGTTGGGGTTACAAAGTCACACATGTAGAGTGTTCTTCGGAGGACTTTGTGAAGTGTATTTTGACTGACTCTGAGTAATAGTAGAAAAAAATAATGTGTCCCAAGATTAAGTAGCTCTCTGTAAATTATCGGAATAAATTAGGACCACAGCCTCTCTGGAGCAGAAGAAACGAAAGCAGGTCTGTGAAGTCAGAGCTTGTTTCATCTGGTAAGCACACTAGCTTCTTGGGCCTCATAACAAAGTACAGCTGAGTGATCTAAACAACAGAAATGTGTGTCTGCCATTCTGGAGGCCAGAATTGATATGCTGGAGTTTCAAACATTTCATGTGATAGGACACCTGGAAATAGGAGTTCTCATTATGAACCACATTAAAAAAAAGCTACAGAAAATGTAAGATAAATATGTAAGTGCAGAGTTTGTACTAAATTATCATATGAAAGCTGGCAAGTACCACTTGTAATAAAAATTTATGGAGGAAAAATAAGGCAGACACACTACTGTGAAGCTATGCATCGTAAGTTTAACAGCTACTGAAGGCTGCTGTGTTATTTAGGGACCCCAGGAGGATGGAAAAACTGTCCTTACAGATATGTAGCACAAATTCTCTGTATAGTAAACTGAAGAGCAATCACTTAACATTGCTAACGTATGCTTGGAGGTTCAGGTTTATCACAGCAGTTTGTGACACAAAGAAGTCCAATTGTAAATAATATCTAAACACTTAATGGGATAATCAGAAGTCATAAGCAAGTGGTGGCCCAGAGGTCACACTTGATTTACTATCTCTTTTATATAAAAATAATTTTGTACATATCAAAATGATTGAGAAAAAAATCAAAAGAATACATAGATGAATTTCAAATTTCAGTATCCATGCATGGTTTTGTTGGAACATAGTCACTTATTTTTTTAAACCTGTTCTGTGGCTCCTTTCATGGCGCAGCAGCAACTGAGCCATGAATGGTTGTAATAAGGACTGAATGGCTTACAAATGCTTTCTTAGAAAAAAATTGCTAGCCCCTAATCTCAGTGGTGAGTTGGGCATCTTTGCTTGGCCTTGAAACCTGGATTAGCTTACTGTATTGAAAACTACTTTGATATAAATCTACAAGCTCTATGAATAGAGTTCATTCTAGGAGCTCTGAGACAGATGTAGAAAGCTGAGGTTCAAGCTATCTACTTGTTGAAACAGATATGATGAGCCTGCATCTTGTGCCCACATGCATATGCGCAAATGCAGTGGAGAGCACATCCATGTCAATACAGGATCACAGTGTGCTAGAACTGAGTGAAAGCAGAAAATAGAACTTGCTGGGCACACGTGCTAAAGGGAAACATCAAGTAATGCGGGTGAGAGTGACTCATAGGAGAGGGAAGGAGTTTGTTGGTAAAATAGAAAAATAGAACAATCAAGAATGTCATAGATGCTGGGGTGGGGAAGTGAAGTTTGAAGGAAGGGAAGCATTCTTTCTAACACTAAAAGCACACTTGTTTTTCTCTAGATTCATTATGGCTGAACTTCTCCAGACTGAGAAAGCTTATGTAAGGGACTTGCACGAGTGTTTGGAGGTAAGTCTTGCAGTAATCAGTTCACAGCTTTATTAGAAAATGACATTCTCACCACTGTCAAACCCTTGAGAAGAGTTCAGTGCTCTTGTTCCTTTCATGGAGATTAACAAATAAAAAAAGAAAAGCCAGTCGGAGGAAATCTTTCTCCCAGAATCAACAGTAATTGCATAGGAATTTAAAGTACTTTTAAAAAGAAAGTTTGCAGTTTTCTCAGACTGGAGCTAGACCCAGAAAAAAAGGTGTAAGGCATTTCAATTCAAAAATAAAAACCGGGGCTGGGGATTTAGCTCAGCGGCAAAAGCGCCTTCCTGGCAAGCGCAAGGTCGTGAGTTCAGTTCCCCGTACCGGAGAAAAACCAAAAAAAAAATAAATAAATAAAAAAAATAAAAAAATAAAAAATAAATAAATAAAAACCATGACAGGCTGAGTGAACTGAAATTGAATCTGAAAATCTTTACCCCTGCCTCCCCTATTCAAATCCATATTCACTTGATAAATAACAAGAGGTCAGGGTGCACTTCCTAATGTTCAGGATAATGGATAGTTCACATTTGTTAAACTCTGCATGCATTGCCCAGCCAAGTCTTGTCCCCAAGTTTAGAGCCTCTTTATTTGTCTGAATTTCTGGTGACATACTTGTCAGTAAAGAACCTATTGCTGTCTTACAGACTTACCTGTGGGAAATGACCAGTGGTGTGGAGGAGATCCCCTCTGGGATCCTTAATAAAGAACATATCATCTTTGGCAATATCCAGGAGATCTACGATTTTCATAACAAGTAGGTTGGTGGTAGGTTTGGCAGATCTCACTTAGGGCCAAAAATACCAGACAACAGAGGCCCCCAACAAATGGATTCATAGCATTTGATGAACCTTACATCTTACCTGGTATAGTCTTACCTGGTAAGTTCTCTAAGTCAGTTGCTGTCCGACTTCTTTCTTACCCTTTCTCTGCAATTGTTCAGAATTCCTAGTGGAAAGTAAAATCAAGTGTTTAGCAGTATCCCTCCCTAGTTCTCCTCGAAAACCTAGCAGGCAGCATCCTTATCTTCCCAATGAATATGATTACTGGGATTTGAAGAAACTAAATAGCTTCTCCTCAGTAAACCTGTGGGAAATCCTGACATTAGAGTTCATTTTTGAGTATCCATCTTGTTGTGGAACTTGGGATTCAGATTCTATTGAGGTTTTTCTCAACCTAAATATTTCCTCCACCCCAAACTATCTGATTATTACCCTCAACCAAACAACAACAAAAATAATCAAAATACTGAGTACAGCACATTTCTTGGCAACTTATAAAGGAGAATATCCATCAACACTGTTTTTGTTGAAAAAACAGTGACTTGCCAAACCAGGACTAGAACAGCACTGTCCAGTGCAGCTTTCTCCAGGGATGGAAATATTCTGTATTAATATTGTCCCATACATTAGCCATTAGATGTGGGGGTTACTGAACTTGTGCTACTAAGAAACTGAATTTTTAATTTGACTTAAATTTTAGTAAACTTACATTTATATAGCCAGATTGGACAACCACTAGTTGAAAACAAAGTTGGGCCCTGTGTTGAGAATGACTACTACTCAGCAAGTGCTGGGTATAAGAGGATCCTGGGCTGCAAAGATCTTAATAAGAGAGTCATTCCCCTTCTGATGCCTAATCCTTGTTAGAGCATCCATTTGAATAAAGATAAAATATGCAGCTCCCATGACATGATAACCCTCTCAGGTTATTAAAGCGGTAAACTGTAAAGGAGAGAACGCTTCTGACTTTCTAGATATGTAATAAAAGTTCCCAGTCTTTTTTAACCATGAACTTTAATACTTCCCATCTGGTTTGCCTGGCAGTCTCCAGACGTAGAAGTATTCTATGTCATGCCTGTTATTAATAAGATCCCAATAAATCCATTATTGACCATCAATCTCAAAGTCCATCACCTGAGCCCAGCGTAGTATTATCCCATCTCCCTCAGGATACCACAGAAGACATCGGACTGACAAATGGTGAGTCATGTTACTCTTTTTGACTGCCTTGTGGTCTCTGGATTCAGTCAACAACACTTTCCCCATGTGCTTCCCAGATTGACATGGAAGTCTCAATTTCACAACATGCATGACCTGTGAACCCCACTTTTGCCAAATCAATTTATAAGGAGAAAGAATATTCATTCTGAAATTGAACAGTTGTACCAAATTATCTAACACAGGTATGCGTCTTATTCTGGCTTCACAGTATCACGTTAGAAAGTCATGGTAAGTAGTCCAGTAGCTTTTAAATAGCTGAAAGTCTATCTACAATTTATAAAATACAGTTCTAAGATCCTTTAAAAAGTCAAATTAAGCTGAATTCTATAAATAGAGAAATAAATGCAGATACCAAGAACACAGCTACCAAGCACATGTTGCCTATTTAGCACATTACAGAGGAGCAAGAAGAAACTAAAACCCAGCCTCTGAACAACCAGAAGACATGTCACCAAGATTAAGTTTTCATCTTTTCACAAAGATAACTTTCTGTCCTCCTTACCAGCCAATTTATCTCTCAGTTATAGTTTCCACAATTTAGAAGGAAAAAATACTGTGAGGAGGAAGAACTTGAATGAGGTGAGCAACATATAGTAAGACCTGGCAGGAAAGAAGACAGGTAAATGGCAATAAAACAACAACAATCATAATGCGGAGGGGCTGCTCAGTATTGCTGCAAAGTACCCTATATCTCCCTATAGGGTCTAACACAGCTACTGTATTACAGGGCAACATAATAATTGATAGTAGTAATAACCCTGAATCATTAGTATGTTCTGCATTAAAAGCAAGGAACTTTGCAATATATTTAGAAAGTTATTGACCAAAAGAAATTAATGTTTTAAATTATTCACAATTCAAGGGAACATCCAAGGATATCAAGCTGTACATTAATTTCCTACATTATCTGGGGACTGTGGCTTTATAGTACTCATAATGTGTATTTTCTGCTTAAGCCATACAGATTTTGATTAATGGAGAAGACATAGCACTTCTAGAAATCTGTAATAAGTAGTAGATAACATGGCTATTGACCCAACTTAGAAAATATAAGGACTATGAACTCCTTAAGGGGCCATATCTTTTTTCTGCACAGTCCAGTACCTGGTACATAGTAAACTTATAGTATTTGTTGGGTAGGTGGATGGATGGATGACTGAGCTAAACATAAAATTACATTTTACTGGCTTACAGTTAGTGCTATTCAAGTCACAGTTCATTCATTTGCTTGTGAAAGTCTCAAAAGAGAAAAAACAAACTCTAGGTAAGACTTTCCCCCTCCTCACTACCAAATCCTCCTAGACCAGCAAAGTAATAGAATTTGTGAATGAGGGAGTTTCTTGAGAGCTGCTTTGTGAGAGGACATGCAACTGTCCTTCGGGAATACAATATTTCTCTTAAATGGTCACTTTTTAACCTAAAACTATCAAAGAGTTCTTTTTAACTCCAATTATATGTCTGTCTATACTGCAGAGAGAATGACAGAGGGACAATAGGAAGGAGAACTATTAGGAGTTTGAGAAAGGAAGATTGAGATTGACACCTTCATGCTAACTTAATTAACTGAGTCATGAGGAAATTAGTACATAGACTCAGGGTTATACAGAAAATACATTTCATATCTCAGCTAGTTAGTATTGCTCCATCTAAAATGGTGTTACTTTGAAAAATGGCAACCAGTATTAGTGTGTGGGTGGAGGGGTATGTCCCAGTGCATGTGTTATGTCTCAAGACCGCTTATCTTTATAGGTACTGAATAGAGAAATTCCTACACACCAATTAACTATGTAGAATTTAATACCTACAAGAATGGCTTTACCTCAATTGGAGGTTGAAGTGGAATGTACTTAGTTTTGCCTTCTCCTCTCCCCATTTTGCTGTAATCTCTTTCTGCACAACTAAATATAAAGATCATAAAATTTGCTTGTGTACACAGGGCTTAGACCTCTTTCCACTGCATTTTGCGAAGCCTTCCATCAGCACTTAGACAAAGACATGTATTCCATAAATAAATCCTCCAAATAGAAATGCTTTGCCTAACTTACAACATGTAATTCAATTCAAAAAATTACTTGTTATCAGTTTGCCATAATTGTTAGGTATTCAGGTTTGGTAAGAACACTCTTTGTTTAAAATGTTCAGTTAAATCTGAGATTTACTTCTTCCTTTTTCAGTTATTGGGAAAAATGATGGTACATGAATTTGGACAACAACATCTTTATAATATCTCTAATGGGAGGGCTCAGAGGGTCCTCTTAACCATCAAGTACAACCTTGTGCCTTACAGGGGAGGAGGCTGAGACCCAAGGACCAGCCAGTGCCTTGCCCAGTGTGTGGCCTCGCATCCCCTAGAGATCAGGCTCTTGATCCCAGAAGGCTGGCCTCTCGCTTCAGTTCTGTCTCCTTCTCCTGTTCCATAGATGCCATAATGTGGTGGCCAAACATAGGCCCAATATAGGCAAATACAGACAACCAGCTTTTACGTGAATCCCCAAACAAATGTTTGTGGAACATTCCTATTTCTTCTATAGCTATATCAATCAAGTCCAATGCCCCTACCATAATTTCCTGAAATAAATCTTTTTTTTTAAGGAAGGGTTGGAAAGGCAGGTTGGAAAGGCCAACAACCAAGGCTAAATATTCCTGCATGTACCCTCATCTACGCATGGCTGGAAGCTCTTCAGTTTAGTCTTGGCTGTTCACCACTGCAGTCCCAGTCTGTGCCATGTGGGACTGGGCTGGACAGCAGGAGGAGTAGGTGGCACACAGCAGAAGTGAAGACCCGGGTGTGTGTGTGTGTGTGTGTGTGTGTGTGTGTGTGTGTGTGTGTTTTCGGGTGCACGGGTGAGCAGCTGAACCAGAACTGTATTTGGGTCATCTTCCTAGAGTTTCTTCTTTGGGCCAGACCTTTGCCACTTTGGAGATGAAGCAATCTATTGGTACCCACTGATGAATTGAATCCAAATTCTGCCCTCTGAGTTCTGAGAACAAGGGGTACCAGTGAGAAGGCAGGAGTTGGCGCACAAATGCAGTTCACAGGACCAAAGAAACAGCCTCAGTCAGAAGAACAGGCAAGGCCTTTAGGCAGAGGTGGTTTCCTTGATGCCAGAGGACAATTTGAATAAGGGCCTCCAAGGGAGGAATTTGTAAGTGTGGGTCTAATCAAGCCTGGGTCTTGGGCACAAGAAAGGACCCTGTGTCACTCCACAGTTAGGATGTGACTTGTCCTAAGTGTCTGTGAGACTGAGGAGAAAGGAAGGGGGAGGTGTTATGAGTCAAAGCAGAGAGTGTGGGAGACATAAAGGAAATGAGATGTGGTGAGGTGAGAAACAGGGGACAAAATACCCAGAGAGAATGTGAGAAAACAGTGACATGGATGGGCAGGAAGGGAGAGCAGAAGAGAGAGAGACAGGGAGGAAAGGGAGGGAGCCAGTAGCTGGGAGCAGGCAGGCGAGCAAGTAGGGAGATTGATGAAGAGAGCGAAGGTGGGATCTTCAGATAGGTTTTATCATGAACCAAAGGAAAAGATTATATACAATACCCTGATACATGCATGCTTATGTACTGTGTAGAACAGAGAAATTAAATTTTGTAAAACACCACCCTCACTGTGTGTGATTTTGAGTTAGATTCTACTCTTTCTTATCTTCTTCTTCCCCTCCTCCCCCTCCCACTGCCCCTTCTCCAGCTCCACCAATTGCCTCCTGTAAATTGGTTTTACTACTCCTTGAAACACAATGGGTTGACCCACAGCCAAACAGTGAGGCGCAGACTCCACCAGGTGGTAAGAAAAAGGCTCTGCAACTCATGGCCCAGGGCGGGACAACTGCCAGCTCCCACATACTGCCTGCTCACATAATACTCTTGATTAAAATGTGCATTTTTCTGTGCTTCTTCCCTTATTCCAAATGCCTTTGGTATTAGTTTTACCTCTTTTTATGAAAAATCATAGAATTACTAGTTAAAATTTGTGCTGGATAATCTGGTAGTTCTGTCCTTCGTTTTATAGAAACTGGAGCTACAAATGTTTGTGACCTGCACAAACTAATTAGTGACACAGCCAAAAAGTCCAGCAGTCATCTTATGGATAGTCAGATGTTAAGTGGACAGGAGGCAAAAGACCTGCAGTCATTTTCCTTGGGGCCCAGACCCACACTCTACGGAATGTAACTGTGAGCCTTATACAGTCCTTGGAGGGTTGTAGCTGTGGCCTTGTTAGTATTGTTTGTGCATTCACTAAGCTGTCGACATTACAGCTAATTATAGATATTGGAGAATACCCAAAGAAAGGTGAAATCTAAACATTTGATTTGAACTTCTCAAAGTAATTTTAATTTTAGTTGTACACACCAACTTTTTAGCATTTGGCAACTTTTGCCAAACAGCACTTTAGTGGATATGAATAACATTACATGTGAGATTTATATTTTATTTTACATTAACATTAAATTTGATATGTACATATGCAGATAAGTTTTTATTTATCTGATCATACATACTAGACAAAACAAGGAAATTCTGAAAAGACCTATCAAATAGGTACAGTGCAGCAAGGTGAAAGTTGCTGCCTGAGGCTATAGGCTAGAGGTGGCACATTTGCCACACAAAATTCAGTTTTACAGTTAATGCAGGATTTGCCAGCTGGAAGCGTGCTGGAATCTAGAGTGGCTGCCCTCAGATAGATCTGTGGACTCAATGTGTTAGAATCACCTAAGCTTTTCTAAACAATGCAGATGTTCAATTCCTAACCCCAGAGGGCAGTG